ACTTAAACAATCAGCAAGAGCCTGGTATAAAAAGGCTGAAAATTGTCTACTTGAGCTAGGTTATAAGAAATCCGCTTATGAACCATGTTTATTTATAAAATGCCATAAAACTGTTAAAACTTTTATAGCTCTGTTTGTAGATGATTTTTTCATTTTTTCTAATTGTAACAAGGATGTAGATTACCTAAAAGGCCAGTTAAGTACCAAATTTAAGTTGAAAGACTTGGGTGAATTAAAGCAGTGTTTAGGTATGAATGTTAAAATAGAGAAAGATAAAATTTGTATTGATCAAGAAAAATTTATAGAGAGATTGTTGTATAAATTTAACATGAACAATTGTAAAAGTGTAGAGACTCCTATGGAGGTAAATTTCCCGAGCGTACGGCGCGTCGCGTTCCGCGCGCGCCTCAAAGAGCCATCAGACCACCACAGATGGGGCCCAATAGGGCCGATGCCGATTCGGAGTCGCGGAGAACCTAACGGGTAACCGGGGCTCCGGCTCGACGTGCAGGAGAAGGAACGGGGTGGTTTTTAGTCAGTAAGAGTCTGACACTCCCTTCCGCCTCACCCAGGCGGGAGCAGTCATTCGATGATTTTCCCCCCTTAAAAAAAAAAAAAAAAAAAAAAAAATGGAGGTAAATTTAAAACTTGATAAAGGTCAAGATGTATCAAGTAAATATCCTTATCAACAATTGATAGGCAGTCTTATGTATCTTTCAATTTTAACAAGACCGGATATATCATTTTGTATCAGTTATTTGAGCCAATTTAATAATTGCAACAGTGAAATCCACTGGAAACATGCAAAAAGAGTACTAAAATATTTGAGTTATACAAAATCATTTGGACTAATGTATGTAAAAAATGATTCAGATATTGTTGGATTTGTTGATGCAGATTGGGCGTCAGACACAGTTGATAGGCGCTCCTATACTGGTTTCTGTTTTATTTACTCAGGATGTATAGTTTCTCATGAGTGTAAAAAACAACAGACAGTTGCATTATCCAGCACAGAGGCTGAATACATGGCAATTTGTGAGGCCAGTAAAGAGGCAATTTTTCTTAAAAATCTTTTACATGAACTTGTAAATAGAAATGATGGGCCTATATTATTGTATAATGATAACCAAAGTGCCCAGAAACTTTCTGAAAACTGTATGTATCATAAAAGAAGCAAGCATATAGATGTTCGATTCCATTTTATTAGAGAGGCTGTAGAAAATAAATTGGTTAAAATTAAATATCTGAATACTACAGAAATGCCAGCTGATCTGTTTACGAAAAGTTTATGTAAAATTAAGCATAATAATTTTGTTAAGAAAATAGGTGTTGTTAATATAAAGGAATAACTGTGTTTCGATTATTTTAATAAGTGGTGGTATTATTGTATTGTATTAAAATAATATTGCAAGATGGTATGTAGCGCCATCTATTGGTTTTTTGTTTGTAACTCACTCCTCTAATGATTGGATCGGTTTGTAATAAATGTCAGTTAGTCTGTCAAAAGCTACTCACTGGTTTTATTAGAGATTGTCCCGCGATCCCAGACGCCCGGAGTGTCCTTCGCGATGGCTGGGTTGCGAGGAGGCAGCGCTTCGCTGCCTCACCCGTCCCGCCTCTTCCTTAGCTAGCATCACTGCTTTGCAAAAGGAGGAGACGGCATCCCAGTCGCTCGCATCGCTCCGCCTCATGACCCGCACTAGGGCCGGACGCGAGAGGTCGCCATGGCCGATCACGTCCCTAAGGGCACGGCAGTACTCAGCCCACGCAGGGCATTCCCCACTGTGTGTTCCACCGTGTCCTCAGGGTGGTCCTCGCAGTGATGACACCCGGGCGTTTCTATCCGCCCTATCAGACACAGGTACCTCCCGAAACTTCCATGTCCGATGAGGACCTGCGTCAGGCGGTAAGTGAGGACGCCGTAGCGTCTTTCAAGCCACTCCTCAAAGAGGGAACTTACCGCTGCAATGACAACGAGTCCATTGTCCCGGGTCTAGGTGATTGTTGCAAGTAGGTGCTACCGAGCAAGGATGGATATAATCATCGAGGGGGGTGGGAACTATTTGTTTTCATCTCCTCTTATAATATCTTCTGATTTATTTCGTTGCGGGAACCAAAACAGTTATTCATGTCCCTGAGACGCGCCGGACTTCAGTGTTCTGGTGTTTTCATGGTTGTATCTACTGTAGATCCTGGCTTACAGGAGTTGCAGCGGTTTTGGGAGGTTGGAGTGGGCTTGTCCAAAAAAAACTTAGGGAAAAGTCACATTGGTACTTGCCAGGTTTGAATGGTAATGCTGGAAGACCTTGGGACCAGCGCGACATTATTTTTTATCATTAACCAATACAGTTCTTATCATACAATAATATGAAATATAGTCAGTTTTGTCGTAATTCTTACTGAGCATAAACGTGTTGTATTTATTTTGAATAAAATTTTAAATCCACTATTGTTGTAAACCTAATAAGATTTAAAAATGTAAATGTGTTGTTAATTAAGGTTAAAAGTTTTGAACCGTATGTAAATGATTTATAAATGACGTGAATTTTAATTTTGAATCGTAGGCGAACACAAATATATTATTATTATTCGTAAGTATTATTCGTAAGTAGTTATTTTATTTTACATTACAACATTCGATGGTTTTTATTGCTAAATACTCGTTTTGACATGTGTCTTTGTTATAATCTAATAGAAAAATTACTTAATATGTAAGTATTTAATTTTTTCATCATTTTTTATCTTATAAAATAAGACTCAGTTTTGCTTTACCGTAGTACAGTAAGAAGCCGTGTAATTATTATATCTCTATTCTAAAACTAATCAAAATGTGTACAGTAATTTAGGTGTAGTAAACAAACAGATAAACAAACAAGTTTTCGAAGGTTAACTACATGTTTTTAATGTGGTAAGTGGTTTTAAATCATCCAAATTAAAACTATATTGATAATACGAGTGTCTAGTTCGTCGAGTGGCTGTAAGAACGACTGTTGCAAGGGTTTTTTTTAAACTGTCAAACACCAAGCGGTCACCGATGACTGCAACCTATTGTTCTTTAATTGTGTCTATAATGTCGGTACTCGACGAGTTAAGGGGGGAAAATCATCGAATGACTTCTCCCACCTGGGTGAGGCGGGAGGGAGTGTCAGACTCTTACTGACTAAAAACCACCCCGTTCCTACTCCTGCACGTCGAGCCGGAGCCCCGGCAACGCGTTAAGCCCGAAAAAAAATATTTTTTACCGAAAATCACGAACGGGAACGGGAAAAAAACGGGATTGCGCGCACGAAGTCGCGGGCAGAAGCTAGTTGACAATTATAGGGTAGATGACTAATTTTTATTTTAATGTCCGTCTGGTAGATTATTTAAAAACATTACACACGTATTTTTTATTTTCTTACGAAAACGAATAGTTTCGTAGATATATTGATTTGAAATATCGCATGACGTCACTTTTGAGTACGATTTATACTCTAAACTGACGTAGTTTCCTCCGACTCCTAAACTTTAATTCATTTTGTCTAAGTATTGTTTTCTTATACGACAAAATAAAAAAATACGTGGTGAATATTTGTTCATTACCTAACTGACGGACTAGTTAATTAGATTTTTGATTTTCATACCCCGTCATCATCCCTATTATGTGCTGTGCATGCTCCTTCTGAGAATATTTACTTACTAGTTTAATTACACAGATTTCCAATAGTAGACTGGAAAGGCGAGTTCATTACACTTTACCATCATTAAAACGTACACACGACCACACATACAAACATGTAAGTACATACACATGTAATGCATTTAAACTAGGCGTGTTTGATTAATGCGCGCATTTTATGTGATTATTATCGAGTCTTTATTGTTTTCTTTTACTTTCGTACTCTTGGGTACGAAAGTTCAACCCACCCACCATAGCGCCTATTGTATCCGAATTGCGTGGATATTGAATGAACTAATTGATATTAAGTTTGGCTTTATATTCCGTACTCTGAATGCTATTTTAACAGCTACGATAGGGGTTGTATAGTTTTGACATTGAATTATTATTTCCTTTATTTATCTCTATACTTGATTTATACATTTTTAAATATTTGATTATATATAAAAACATTTAAAAATATAAAAAGCAGTAGCCCACCAGTAACGGGAAAAATCCAAGCTACCGGTGGTCAGGGCTCCAGAGAAAGGAATTTCCTGACAATACGCGCCGTGTCCAGAAGTACTGCTTTCTGCATCAGGCCCTTGACCCAACCATCTAACGCTAGTCTACTCAGATGTTGGTCGAGGCTTTTAGCAATGAGGCCACTGCTGGCAGACATTGAATTATTAAGATTTTATTAAATTGAAATTGCATTGACATTGAGATTGGTTTCAAGAGCAAGCACCCAGTTCAGGATCTCGTATGGTGGTAAATGAGTAGACAAATCATAAGGTGATACGCAATCAGAGCCACTTGAAGACACCCACAATACCAGAGTTGCAAGTGTGTCAACTGGTTTGGAAGGTCCCGAAAGCGCAAAGCCAATCGGGGTTTTTAGTCTTCAGTAGCCTCACTCATGATGCAAAACACGACGCTGTGACTGTTTCACGCCGGTGTCTGAGACGGTCCATTCTTGGCAAAGCCTAGGTCTACCACGTAAAACGATGTTGACTTCCTAATCTCATACAATTGGTGACTAGAAGACACATAAAAGCGGTAATATACCTACAGTGAACTGAACTTTCGTGAGGCATACTAAAAATTATAATGTTTTTCGACTTTCTCACGTAATTATTTTACGAGGAACTCGACTAGTTTCAAGCCATGCTAGGGGTTCATATTCTTGAGCAGTATTCCGCGACCAGTGACGCGGCGATTGTGACGCTGCCAGTAGCAGACGGTCGACGCGTCGCTGTAGCATGGCATGAAAAAAGTTGAATTCCTCATCAAATAAATACGTGAATAAGCCGTAAAACATAATAATGAACTTAACAATTAATACTATTCTTTAATGTTCCAGTAAGAATGTCTCATCACGCCTACCTTCGTATCCTGGGCTACGTCACTACCATAGCGCTGCACGTCTCCAATATCACGGTGATGATGACCTCCTTCCATGGAGAGCCCATGAAGAATGCCTACGTCAGACATTTTAGCGAAATGCAGTTCTTTTTCTTTACATGTTGGACTTTTGTGAGTATCACAATAATATCATCATCATCATCAACAGCCTATAAGTACTCACTGCTGACCAAAGCCTCTTCTTACACTGAGAAAGTTCGAACGGCTATCACAAACTTATAATTAGAAATTATAAGCCCAGGTTTCCTCACGATGTTTTCCTTCACCGTTTGTGGTGTCTAGATAATCTTAGAAAGTACATATAACTCGGAAAAAGTCACATTGGTACTTGCCATTGGTAGGTTTTGAGCCCGCACCCTCATGCATGAGAAACAGGCGTCTTAAATCTCCGGGCCACCATGTTTCTTCAAAATCCGTTTAGTAGTTTCAGCGTAATTTGTGGACAAACATCCAAATAGAGTGTCATATATTTTTTATGATTTAAACCGATAAACGAGCAGACGGATCACCTGATGGTAAGCAATCGGCGTCGCCCATGGACACCTGGAACACCTGAGGCGTTACAAGTGCGTTACCGGCCTTTTGGGGATTAAGAGTTTGAGGATCGTTTGAGATTCAGGAATTGGGGATATTAATTGGGTCTCCGGTAACCTCACTCACACGACGAAACACAAGCAAGCGTTGCTTCACGTCGGTTTTCTGTGAGGCCGTGGTATCACTCCGGTCGAGCCGGCCCATTCGTGCCGAAGCATGGCTCTCCCACATTTGTGATATTAGTGTGATTCATAAGTATAGACATTGTTTCTCTTATCTGTGACATTAGAATACTTTAAAGGAATACTTATGGTTTTTCTTTTCTATTGCAGTTCTTCCAAACAGTATACGCGATATTTGCTCTCTACACTGATGTCCTAACACTGAAGAATACAGACAACAAGTTATATGAGCTGCCCAAACTGCTGGCTGGGGCGAGAGATGCCTTCTTCACAATTATGGTTTACCCATCTACAATTGTTAGTACGAATTTTATGTAGTTAGGGTAAGGTCGCGAGTTCGCGTCGACTCTACTAATGTTCGGCTGTTCGCGTCGCCGTGAATAAATTAATACCTAAAACTTGAAAAAGTCTAACAGATGTGTAATAAATACTGCATAAGGAGGACTGAACGGGTTACCGGGGCTCCGGCTCGAAGTGCAAAAGTAAGAACGAGGCGGTAGTTAGTCAGTAAGAGTTTGACACTCAATCTCGTCTCACCCAAGGCGGGAGAAGTAATTCCAAGTCATCTCTCAATAAAATATGGTAATAATTTTCTTGTTTTCGGGAATTTTTGAAAGGTATTTCGTAATATGGACGCGAACTAATGGGTGGACGCGAACAAGCGACCTTACTCTACTAATAGATGAAGAGAGTAGAATAAGCTATAAAGATGTGTACTGAAAAGGGTGCACACACTTACAGAGCACATTCACAATACTTTTTTCTGTTTTAAAGAAAAACATTGTCCTACACTAGGATTTTCTCCTGTGTCGTGGGTGCGTTTACAAACATACAAGTTCACATACACATGACGCCTAGACCCGAAATAACAATTTGTGGACCACGCCAGTTGTGCTGTGCAATCTGATACGTACTTTTAACCAGCTATGTTAAAAGTCTCATGTAATAGGGGTACATAATTATATCGTCCTTGATGACAATTGAAGATAAAAGCAATGGACTTATTATCAACATCCGAACATATTGATAGCCAATCACAAGGATATTATTGTCTCAGGGTCTCACAGTAATTAAAGTATAATATTTTTAATCATGTTGTAATTTTTATATTAACCATCGTGAGTCATACTATATTAACTAAAAATCGCGGGTTACTCACGTGAATATATTGAGAAAAGCTCTACTAGAAGAAAAAAAGAAAGAAAAATAATTTATTCGCCACCAGACATGGACCACTGAATAACACACAAAATAATAACGTGAGCTGCGCGACATCGCCGCGACTGCGCACGCGGCCGTGTAACCCGTGATTTTAGTTAATTTTGTAATTTATTACATACTACGTAGGCGTAGTTCACAATTACCTCTACTTATACACATAGACTACTTTTCGTCGCATGGGAACGCGGGTGAAGCCGCTGGCAGAAACAAGCTATATTTCAAATGTTTTATCACCTGATGGTAAGCTATCTTCGTCGCCCATGGACACCCGCAACACCAGAGTCGTTACAGGTGCGTTACCGACCTTTTGGGATTAGAATTATGAGGATTGTTGGAGATTCAGGGATTGGGAGAATGGGGGGGAGGGGGTAATTAGGCCTCCAGTAACCTCACTCACATGACGAAACACAACCCAAGCGTAGTTTCACGTCGGTTTTCTGTGAGGCCGTGGTGTCACTCCGGTCGAGCCGGGCCAATAGTGCACAAGCATGGCTCTCCCACACTGGCGGACTCATTGAATATTACCTTTGCCTATTTTTTCCTAGTTCACCCAGAAAACCCCATTGAAATAAATTGATTATTTCAATAACATTTTCCAATATCAATTCCAGCTAGTCTTCACAGTCTTCTGGCCGTTCTTCTACTACGATAGGAGTCTTCTGTTCCCTGCAGACATCGACTTGGTGATCTCGAAGACTTCCAACCATATAATGCATACTTACATACTTCCTATTGCCATCTGGGAGGTCATGTTTAGGAGGAGGAAGCCTCCCAAATCACATGTGTGGCACATTTTGGGAGTCGAAGCTCTTGCGCTGACGTATTTTTCCGTGTAAGTATTGTTTTTTTTTACTGCTGTAGGGTTGCTGGTAGTGAAATTAAAGCCCCGGTGTTCTTGATGGTTATTTATTTATTGGCAACTTCACTGTTACATAAATTTACTATAAACTAATCAAGATAATTGCAACCCTAAGTGGAGGGATGAAAGGGACTGCGTGGCTATCGTCTTTCAGACCTCCCCTAGCTGGCTAATTCCAGAAGACCGCTAGGCTATCGAACTGGAGTCAGTCGTACTTAGGTTCAGAGAAGGCTGCGTGGCTACCGAGCTCTGATCCTCTAGCTAGTAGAATGATAATTTGTTCGAAGACAACTCTGCTTATAAAGGCGTATGGTTTGCATGTGTGTTCAATCTTCATAATAGTTGTCTGTAGTTGAAGTTGTTTTAGATATATTATACTAGATGGCGCTGGGTGTTCGTTACACTGCTATTTTTAATGAGCGGACAGATCACTTGTCTTGATTGTTAGTGATCAGTGCTACTCATAGACACCAGCAATGGTAGGAGAATCACAAGTCAGTTATAAAGTTTAAAGTGGCACAGGGCTACATAGAGTGCAAAGCTCGGAGTCTCTTTGATGGATTAAATCCGAAAATAATGTTCACTTCGTCACATGCAACTTTCACCTCTACACTATAGGTGAACTGTTAGACAATGCCTATGGCATTAAGTCTACCTGTACCTTCATGTAGTTTTTTTTTGTACTAAATCTGAATCAAATAAACATAACATAACATCACGCCTTTTATCCCCGAAGGGGTGAACAGAGGTGCACATTTCGGCACATAATGCCACTGTAACTACAATGTAACACTCACTTTTCACTATTTATGTTATGAGATATAAGCCCAGGTTTCCTCACGATGTTTTTCTTCACCATTTGTCAGTGATGTCTAAATAATCTTAGAAAGTACGTATACCACGGAAAAAGTCACATTGGTGCTTGCCTCATGCTTGAGAAGCGGGTGTCTTACCCTCCGGGCCACCACGACATATTTACGATTACTGAAGCATGGATTGTCGCAAAGTTACGCCTGATTTTATTCTGTGTTAGCTTTTATTCTCGGCTTTGCCCGCGTATTTCTATTTTATCCCATGGGAGCATTTAATCGGAATGAAAAGTATCTTATCACCTAAGTCAGTCCATACCCTGCATGTATACTACATTTCATCAAAATCCGTTCAGTAGTTTAAGCTTTATTGACGGTCAAACATACAAACTAAGAAACTTTCACCTGTGTACTATTAGTATGATAAATAATACATAAATAAAAATAAAAAAGCCATATATTTCGTGGAAAAAAAGAAAACCTAAATGACAATTGTTTTTCTTTTACTAAACTTAATCTGTATTATTTTTTGTTTTATTTGATTCTAAATGTACCTATTTGAAGAGTTATAAATGTTTTATTTAGTAGTTGGTTTGTTCAGTATTAGTATGATATGATTCATTAATTTTTTTTCAGATTGTTCTTCGTCCACGCCGTCAAAGGCGTCTGGATATACCCAATATTCGGCATTCTGAAAGGATCTATATTGTTTTACTTATTCTTCTTGGCGATTCTAGCAGTTTTACCATTTATGTACTTTACGCAGTGGACATTAACTTCTCTGCTATGGGAGGGAAAGAAGAAGAAAGTTTATTGAGAGAAGAAAGATAGAGAAGGGGGAGGGAGAGAAGGATTGAGATAAGTAAATAAATATAAAGAATGTTTGGTGGTTTATTTGTACCTTTTATCCCCCCACGCCTTTTTTGCACACTACGGCATTTAATGCCACTGTATAATGTAACACTTACTTCACTATTTATGTTATGAGTCCCATGTAATAGTGGGTGAGCCTATTGCCATATACCGGGTACAGTTCCAGACTCCGTACTACTATTAAGAATTTTTATAAAAACCCAATAATACTTTGCCCAAACCGGGATTCGAAGCCCGGGTCACCTTGACCGATAGTCACACTTGCGACCATTCGGTCAACGAAGCAAATTGACTTTATTTGTACCTACTTAGACCTTTAGGTTTATTTTATTGTAATTTGAATGTAACATCGTGTTAGGCTGCCCGCTTCTCAAGCATGAGACAGTGGGTTCGAAACCTGGCAAGAAGCAAAGTGAAAATTTTCTCAAAGTCCGAAATTATAGAGTCAACTTACATTGAGAAGTACTCTTTCCTCTGCCGAAGAAGATTATTAACTAATTTAAAATAACTTTTTTATGGAATTACGTCGGTAAACGAGCAGACGGATGACTTGATGGTAAGCAATCGGCGTCGCCCATGGACACTTTTTTTTTAGGGGAAAATCATCGAATGACTGCTCCCGCCTGGGTGAGGCGGGAGGGAGTGTCAGACTCTTACTGACCAAAAACTACCCCGTTCCTTCTCCTGCTCGTCGAGCCGGAGCCCCGGTTACCCGTTAGGTTCTCCGCGACTCCGAATCTGCATCGGCCCTATTGGGCCCCATCCGCCATGGTCTGATGGCTTTTTGAAGCGCGCGCGGAACGCGATGCGCCGTACGTTAAGGTCTGGTTGTGGTCGGGTGGCATGGACACTAGAAACACAACGCAAGCGTTGCTTCACGTCGGTTTTCTGCTCGGCCGTGGTATCACTCCGGTCGAGCCGGCCCATTCGTGCCGAAGCATGGCTCTGCGCTCTGCCACACAAACCTACAGAAATACTACACAGAAACGTAAACAAAATTCCTACTATGAATGTTATAAATACCGAACTTGTTAACCAACCCAAACCTAACTATTAATGCCGTATTCTCAAACAACACTTTAATAAAGTAGAAAAAGAAACATAGACCATTTATTCTTGCGCAGAACACATAACATAATAATAATAAAAAAAAATATATATCCTTACTAATATTACAAATCGGAAAATCAGTTTGTTTGTTTGTTTGTTTGTTCCACTTTCACGCCGGAACTACTAGACCGATTGCTTTGCAGACGTAAAGATAGAAGTCCGGATTAAATAATAGGGTACTTTTTATCCCGGAAAAATTCGATATTCCCGAGGGAAAACAAAAGTATTGGTATAGATGGCGCTGTGTGTATTGGTATATGTTACATTGGCTTTTTATCCTTTTGTGACGCGAGCAAAGTCGCGGGTAAAAGCTAGTATAATATAAAGCAAGGGTAAACCAAGGTAGGTACAATAGAAATGTGTAATCACCTCATTGATCGAGTGTTTGTAAGTGCAACAGTTAAATTTGGATGTCTCAAAGTTTATTTCTAGTTTGATAAAGTATATTTTTTTATGGGTAAGCTGGTAACCGAGGAGACGGATCACCAGATCTTAAGCAATCGTCGTCGATACTCGGAACACCAGAGGCGTTAAAAGTGCGCTACCGGCCTTTTGAGGATAAGGAATTTGACGACTATACGGGATTTTGGGTGTTCTGTTTGGGTATATACCTCTAATAGTCTGGGGATGTTAAGATTAAACAAGCATCATGATCATAAATCGTTCAACGATTTGGCCGTCCCTATGACTCTAAATAGGCCGAACAACATCTATATGTAAATATGTCACCCATCACACCTTTACCAAAGACTACATAACATTACACCTGCATAAGTAGGTAGCACATATACAATGACTCCTCAGTAATTACAAATGAGCCTATTAGCATACACTGGGATCAAAATCAGACACTCAGCTATTACTGAGATATGTTCGAAAAACCAAAAAAAATCAACAATACTTCACCCGACCCGGCAAACAAACCTGAAACCTGTACCGGCTCGCATGTATCATGTATTCATTTTAAGTTAACACGATAAAATTAATAAACTAGATGGTGAAGTAGACCTATTATAAATACCACTTTCGTAAATAACGTTTGAGTATACGGCCGTAACGACAAACGTGTTATACCAAACTGGAATAAAGGAGAAATTCATTCAACATTGCAATAAAAAGAGTATTTTAAAGAACTCGTTGTACCAACATAATTTGACCCATCCGTTAATTACCAAACCGGTACACAAGAGATCTCTCTTAAATTGGACAATATAGCATCTCGACAAAATTTCTTTCTGTAGTTGAGAAAGTTTGTTTTGGATTCTTATGTCGGTGTGTTAAGGTTGATATTTGAATATGTTTTTTGGTATTGACGGCAAACGTCGTGTGGTTTGGATACTAGTTCAACGCTACTTTCCACTTCACGGTCAAGAACACGGTGTTGCCAGGTAGTGATATTTACCCCGATATGTGGGAGATTTGTTTTAATTGTGATGGAATAAAATTAGTTTTGAAACGGCCATTTTTTAATAAATAATATGTATCGTTATTAGATCTTTGTAGACATACAATTTGGGGGTGGCAGGTTTGTAGTAAGTAGGTATATAATTTTGTTTATTCCATTGAATGTAGTAATATAAGTTCTTTAAGTAAAAAGTGCTTACATTGAGCACAATTTATGAGTCGTTTAGGATATATATTTCAGGTACGTACCTAGCTGACGCTATAAAACTCCATAGGAATCTACACCTTGGAATGAGCAAATAGCTTCACTTTAAATTTTTTTTTTGACGGTCAAAAGTTCCTTTTTGATTTAATTGAAATAAATGATTTTGACTCTGACTTTGAAACCGATAAAAATCTAGACTTTAGTAATTAAAATTTTATTATTACAATCTGTGTCTTCATGCCTGAATAAAGCCTTCCTTCATCTAACTAATCACTAAAACAAACAGACCTTTTATATAAAAACTAAACAGTTCCAATACCTTGACAAATAAAAAAAAACGCATAGTCATTTACATAAATAAAAATACACACCACATTAGTATTAACCGTATTTGAATAAATAACACATAAAGGTGCTAAACAATACAATTTTTCTAACACATAACCTTCAATTATAATAAGCATAAAAATCAGGCAAATTTTTCATTATACACCTGGTCTTCCATGGTGCAACTTAATATAAAAACCTTATTACACATACAGCCGTCCGGCCGAACGGACGCCGCTGCCTATAAAAAAAGAAAATTAAAAAGTAAAAATCTGTCATGGCGGTCTCGTACGCCGTTTCCCGCGTTCTAAGACGCGCGTCCCCAATCTTTTGTCAAAAAAGATTGGAATCGACTGTTGCTAGTTTTACAAAAGATGAAATTTTAATATTATTAAGGCCTCCGTTTACGAATTGGAGTAATATAATAAGAGACGCGGAGAAAGTGGTTGGATATCCGACTTCGTTCATGAACTTGAGGTGTCTACTGAGCGATGAGTTCGCTAACATGGCGTTATACCTACGAAAATTGGTAAGTTTTTAACATTCCATTAACTTTAAACTTATAATGACTAGTGCAAAGTGGATGTTACATTATGAATGTGTACCTCTGCTAATCTCTTCAGAGATTAATAGGAGTTATGTTAGTACCTACATTTTATTATCTACCTAGCTTCACCTAGCTTTACTGACGGATTGACTGATACATTATTTATTTTGTATTTGTTGACGTTTCAAAAGTACCAAATCATGGTTTAAACTGTTAAACACCGCGAGAACACCGGCGACCGCAACTTATTGTTCTTTAATTGTGTCTATAAGTATTGACGATACTTAAAGGGTTAATTGAAATAAATGCTTTGACTTTGATTTTGACCACATTTCAAATATTGCCTCGATGGTCGGGCTGTCGTAAACGCGACTTCCAAGCAAGGCATCCATTTTGATTACCGACTTCGATAACAAATTAAAAAGTGCGATATAATGGTTATTGAAAATTCCCAAGTAGTTTATAAAGTTTGGATTTCTATCTGATTTACGGACATACGTTTGTTCCATTTTACATGAGACTCATAACATTAAGTGTGGGAGAGCCATGCTTCGGCACGAATGGGCCGGCTTGACCGGAGTGATACCACGGCCTCACAGAAAACTGACGTGAAGCAACGCTTGCGTTGTGTTTCGTCATGTGAGTGAGGTTACCATAGGCCCAATTAATCTCCCCTTCCCCAATCTCCCCAATTCCTGATTCCCCAACGATCCTCAAACTCCTAATCCCCAACAGGCCGGTAACGCACTTGTAACGCCTCTGGTGTTCCGGGTGTCCATGGGCGACGCCGATTGCTTACCATCAGGTGGTCCGTCTGCTCGTTTACCGGCTTATGCCATAAAAAAAATACATTAATCGGCTGCCGCGCAACGTGTACTCGGGGGAGCACCACTTTGTGTGATCCACAAATTGTTCTTCCGGGTCTGGTTGTCATGTGTATATGAACTTGTATATTTGTGAACGCACCCACGACACAGGGGAAAATCTTATTGCGAGTCCAAAGATCAAGCTAATAAAAAGCAGGAGACATAGTATTTTCGACTTTCTGCTTACTACCTCGTAGGTGTGATTATACCATGTTCTCTGAAGGGGTAAACAGAGTTGTGATAACAGTTTACTTACCCACTTCTCATCAATTATATTATGAGTCCAGTTGTAATAGGCGGTGAGTGCATTCCAAAACGCTACTTATCATTCCAGATTTCATACTGTTATTGAGAATTTTTAAACAGTAAATGTACTGATTTATTCCGTCTATACAGAGTTAAAGATTTCTTATTCGTTAAGTGGTAATAAGAGCGACTAGTGAGGCAGAAATCATCTCTAATCATCTGGCTTGAGAAATTATTTATTGGATAATCAAAAAGATGTCAAAAACAACTTATTTCTATTTTTTATACGTAGGTTTTTCTCTGACTGTCTCGTTGGCCGAGTGGTCGCAAGAGTAATTGTCGGGCACGTGGTCTCGGGTTCGATTCTCGGGTTGGGGCAAAGTATCACTGGGTTTTTAAAAAAAACCTCAGTTGCAGCACAGAGTCTGGAATTGTGCCCGATACATGGCAATAGGCTCACCCCCTATTACATGGGACTCATAACATAAATAGTGAGAAGTGGATGTTACATTGTATAGTGGTATAATATGCACCTCTGCTTACCCCTTCGGGGATAAAAGGCGTGATGTTGTTATGTTATGTTAGGTTTTTCTCCTATGTCGTGAGTGCGTTCACAAACATTCACAAACGTTCACATACCGGCTCGTCCGGAGCGATACCACAGCCTCACAGAAAACCGTGTTTCGTTGTGTGAGTGAGGTTACAGGAGACCCAATTACCCCCCTACCCAGTCTCCCCAATCCCCGAATACCCCACAAACCTTAAATTCCCAAAAGGCCGGTAACACACTTATAAAATGATTCAGGTGTCCTTGGGCGGCGCCGATTGGTTACCATCAGGTGAACCGTCAGCTCGTTTACCGGCTTATCCCATAAAACAACATTGAGTATGTTTGTAAAGTAGCCATCTGCTATGTACTATTGTACTACCTATTTAAAGCTTGACATATTATGTGTTTTGCGTACGAAGTTATTTGCAAAAGCAATTATGAAGTACATTAGAGAAATTTTTATAGCTAACTACTTACAAAGGTGTCGTAGGTGTGTATCCTTGTTATGACTTTTAATATTAAAACATAACTTTATCATTAGCATCTTGAATTCCTTAGTCCACTGGCGACCATGCATGGGTCTCCATTGCATAAGATAGTTTGCCATGTAACTGGAGCCTATGTAACTAGAGAATTGTATTGCGAACCTGATTGAAAAAGAGTAACCTATGGAGTTTCTTGCTCGTTCTTCTCCATAGGAATCTACACCTTGTATGATTTTGATTGAGCAAATAGCTTCACTTTTATTTTTTTGTTTATGACCAAACCATACTGTGACGATGCTATTAAAATCTATGAGTTCGTAAGTAGTTTGGACAGATCCTAATACATATTTCTCGGTACTAATAATAAAATAATAAAAAGTGGTTGTTACATTGTACAGTGACATTGAGTGCTGTAATGTGCTCCTCTGCCTACCCCTTCGCGGATAAAAGGCGTGATAATATGTCTCACACTGGTGGATGAATTTGGTGAATACAAATTTATTTTCTAAAATAATATGTATTGTCTTTGAATACAAACTTGTCCCCGAATACTATGTAACGTACTTAAATTAAACAAGTTAATAGTATAAAATACTTATTGACACGTCCTTGTATTTGATTTTGAAAATCATAATTGCTACCAATTTATTTATGAATTTTACATTTTATAAGTAATTGTGTCATTAATTGGGATGATGACAGGGTATGAAAATTAAAAATCTAATTAGTCCGTCAGTTAGGCAATGAAAAAATATTAGACACATATTTTTAATTTTTTTACAGAAACGAATACTTTCGACGATATATTTGAAATGTCGCGTGACGTCACTTCTATCTAAATTTTATAGGTAGAAATGACGTTTTAGCCCCCAGTCCTAAACTTTGATTCGTTATATCTAAGTATCATTTTATTACAAAACAAAATAAAAAATACGTGTCTAATATTTTTTCATTACCTAACTGACGGACTAATTAGATTTTTAATTTTCATACCCTATCATCATCCCTATTCTGCTCATTTTGCTTTCAGTCAGTACCAGCTAATTAAATTAACTACAACTATTCATTCCTAATCACTATATCAATACTTACATTAAGACGCCATTTTGCCATCACGAACAACCCTGAGAATATTGCACAGTCATTATAGTACGTGCATCAACATCATCGTCATCTGTGGTGATTATGGAATGAAACCATTGCATCATAATGACTATGGTATGTCAAAACTAAAATGGTCCTTTTCAGTATGACCATGGTACGTTATTGGCTTTTCCGATTACAAAATTCGCTGTACTAGCATAATAATTTCTAGTCGAAAAATGCCTTTTACTCATCTAATCTATCTATCCAAACATCACGCCTTTTATTCCCGAAGGGGTTTTTTTAAGGGGGGAAAATCATCGAATGATGACTGCTCCCGCCTGGGTAAGACGGGAGGGAGTGTCAGACTCTTACTGACTAAAAACCACCCCGTTCCTTCTCCTGCACGTCGAGCCGGAGCCCCGGTTACCCGTTAGGTTCTCCGCGACATTCCCGAAGGGGTAGGCAGAGGTGCACATTACGGCACTTAATATCACTGTGCAATGTAACACCCACTTTTCACTATTTATGTTTTGAGTCCCATGTACTAGGGCGTGAGTCTATTGCCATATACCGGGCGCAATTCCAAACATCGTGCTACTACTGAGAATTAAATAAAAAGCCAAAAATACTTTGTCCGACCCGGAAATCGTACCCGAGACCCCTACTCAACCATTAACCCGTCGAGCGTCCGCGTTCCTTATGATCCAACGGGTGCACACGTGACATTTGGAGAAAGAAAGAAAATGCATTTATTTGGCCATTGGCACACGAAAACAAGGATCATTACAATAGAAATAAAACAAATACAGTCAAAATAAAAACAAAACATTAGTAACAGATTTTATAAAAGAGAAAGCAGCATGGAGCATTTTTTCTTATGATCCACCGGGTGCTCATAAGGACGCTCGAGGGGTTAAGTCATTTACGCCCAAATACTGAAAGGATACTCAATTTTAAGTTGTATTTCAATATCGTGCTGTCACTGTCGTTTTACAAAGAATTTGTAGAGACAGAAATATAATTAAGCGCGATTTTGGGTAGCCTTCCATATGTACCCTCCTTTAATGCATGTCAGAGGAATAACTTGGAATGTTTGCCTATACTTCCATACTAAAAAATGTCATATGTCATTATTGGATTGAAGAATCGACTCTAACATCTAGCGCGTTTCTCGTACACACGGGTGTACGAGAGAGTTGACTGCCCATCGTGCAATTGTACACACGGGTTTACGAGAAACGCGCACCGATTAGATATTTTTTCTGTGTTGTATATTTTCAAGTTTGCAACCCGTTCTTTATTTGATTGAACAGAATAGTTAATTCGCTTTTCTATTAAAATATTTACTTACCTGTGTGTACGAAAACGCGCGTTTACCCGTGTGTACAAGAGGCGCGCGAGAGATATATAGAGGAGAGAAACATACATAACGTAACATAACATTACGATTTTTATCCCCGAAGAGGTAGGCAGAGGTGTACATTATGCCACTGTACAATGTAACACCCACCCTTCACCCTTAAAGAAAATAACCAAATATTCCAATATGCTTGCCTCACAGAAACCGGACGTGAAACAATGCTTGCGTTGTTTCGTCGTGTGAGAGAGTTTACCGGAGGCCTAATTACCCCCCCCCCCCCTCTTTCCCCAATCTCCCCAATCCATGAATACCCAACAATGCCCAAAAAGCCGGTAATGCACTTGTAACGCCTCTGGTGTTCCGGCTGTCCATGGGTGACGCCGATTACTTACCATCAAGTGATCCGTGTGCTCATACTGGCTAATTTCACTAAAAAAAAATTAGCTTGATACGGAAAATGAACTCGCAGCCTCACACTTGGAAGGCAGCACTTAAACATAAACTATGATTCATCTCCAAATAATGTAGCTCAATTTAAAAAGTCAGTAACACCGGTTTGGGCGTAGAAAGCAAAAGTCCAACTTTCACATCACTATGCTACACTCGTCATTCGATGATTTTCCCCCCTTAAAAAAAAAAATGCTACACTCGTAATATACTCAAGTGTTTGTTTGTATTGTTCGTTAGCATCTCGGGAATTACTGGGCTTGTTTTCGTGAAAGGATCTTCGTTGGGGTATACGAACGTGATTTATTTTGTAATTTTTTTTTGTGTATAAAAAAGAATATTGTACAAAAATTGCATTCTGACCCGTAAATTATATATCTACAAAAATCTAATTAGAACGTCCTTAATATTTACTGTTTTGTTTATAGTATGGAAACCAAATGTACGATTGCTATTTCTTTGTCATAAGCAAAATTGTTATCTAATGTATACATCTGTACATATAATAAAACTGTAGAACACTTAATTAGGTAGTGTCTTGGGTATCAAAATTAAAAATCTAATCAGTCCGTCAGTTAGATAATAAAAAAATATTAGACACGTATTTTTTATTTTCTCGTATTTTTTTTTTTTTAAGGGCGGAAATCATCGAATGACTGCTCCCGCCTGGGTGAGGCGTCAGACTCTTACTGACTAAAAACCACCCCGTTCCTTCTCCTGCACGTCGAGCCGGAGCCCCGGTTACCCGTTAGGTTCTCCGCGACTCCGAATCGGCATCGGCCCTATTGAGCCCCATCTGTGGTGGTCTGATGGCTCTTTGAGGCGCGCGCGGAACGCGACGCGCCGTACGCTCGGATTTTCTCGTATTAAGTTGCAATACTTAGATAAAATGGCACTAAGTTTAGGAGTGGGAGGGCGTTACGTCATAACGTGCTACAAAATGTGGCACGCTGTGACGTCACACGATATTTCAAATTAATATAATTATCGTTGAAAGTATTTAATTTTGTGAGAAAAGAAAAAATACGTGTCTAAAGTTTTAAATAAATGTACCAGACGAACATTAAAATAAAATTTAGGAAACTACCCTATTGTGTTTACATTAAAAAGAAAATATAAAAAAATAGTAGGGGTGTAAATAAATAGACACCGAATCCAAAAGTGCGATTAAAATAATAACTATGTCTATGTCTGTATGTGTATTCACGCATCACGTAGAAACTACCTATCTCTCTCAAACTTCCTTTCCTAACCACTTCTCCTATTACAAAATTCTCATCATCAACAGCCTATAAATGCCCACTGCTGAGCAAAGCCTCTTCTCACATGGAGAAGGTTTGAGCATTAATCACCACGCTTACTTGCAATGCGGGTTGGCGATTTCAAACTTATAATTTGAAATTATAAGTCCAGGTTTCCTCACGATGTTTTTCCTTCACCGTTTGTCAGTGGTGTCTAAATAATCTTAGAAAGTACATATAACTCGGAAAAAGTCACATTGGTACTTGCCGTTGGTAGGTTTCGAACCCGCACCCTCATGCACTCTTGAACCTCCGGGCCACCACAAAATTCTATGCCACTATAAAGAATTTTTATGTTATGGTATAGAAACAGGATTTATAACCATATTAGCTTCTGCCCGCGACTTCGTACACGCAATCCCGTTTCTCCCATTCTCGTAGGATTTCCAGGACTTTTTTCTGTCATAAGAACCTTCTCCTGACGACAACAAACACAACAAAAAAATCAGCCAAATCGGTCTTCCCGTTCTCAAGTTATGACGTGACAACGGAAAATGGGTTACATTTATATAGACTAGCGGACCCAACAGACGTCCTGCGTATCCACTTGAATTTATAAAAACAAATTCATTGAAATTAGTTCAGCCGTTTGGGATAACTAACCTAGACTTCAACTGCAGCACCATCTGCCGGGCTGGTTTGAATGAATCTAAACCATCCCCAGATCCCCTTGAACACACACAAAAAATTTCATCAAAATCGGTCCAGTCGTTTGAGAGAAGTTTAGTGACATACACACTCATAGAAGAATTATATGTATAAAGATAGATGAAGATGACTAATAACAGAATAGTGAAAGTAGTTACCCGTTAGGTATAAACATGGTTTGAACATGACATAATGTTAATAGACACCAATAGAACATTTTTTGCAAATATCACACTTTCCATTTTTCTTCATAAAAATGTTATAAGTTTTATATTTATTCAAGAAATGTGTTTAGTTATAAGACCACCCATTGAACTAGATTTTATAGAATGAGGACTTTAAGAAAATCTTTTTTTTTTTTTGAGGGGGGAAAATCATCCAATGACTTCTCCCGCCTGGGTGAGGCGGGAGGGAGTGTCAGACTCTTACTGACTAAAAACCACCCCGTTCCTACACCTGCACTTCGAACCGGAGCCCCGGCAACCCGTTAAGTCTTCCGCGGTTTCGTATCGGCATTAGCCTTGTTAGGCCCCATCTGTGGTGGTCTGATGGCTCCTTGAGGCGCGCGCGGAACGCGACGCGTCGTACGCTCGGGGCTGGTTCTGGTCGGGTGGCGAGTCATCCATGCTCGCCGTCCGCAGGCCCGCGCTTACGGTGGCCGGAGATCGTCTCGCGATCCCCGACGCCCGGAGTGTCTCTCGCGACGGCCGGGTCGTGAGGAGGTTCGTTCCCTCACGCGCTCCGCCTCCTCCTTAGCTAGCATGACTGCTTCGCAGAAGGAGGAGACGGCATCCCAGTCCCCCTCGCTCCGTACCATGGTCTGAACCAAAGCCGAACGCGAGAGGTCGCCGTCGCCGATCACATTCCTGAGGACACGGCGGTGCTCAGTCACTTTAAGAAAATCTACCTTTTATTTTTGTAGTCCCAAGCCACTTTTGTTTAATGGTATAAGCCGGTAAACGAGCCGACGGATCACCTGATGGTAAGCAATCGACGTCGCCCATGGACATCTGGAACACCAGAGGTGTTGCAAATGCGTTACCAGCTTTATGAGGATTGTTGGAATTCGAGGATTGGGGAGAATTGGGTCTCCGGTAACCTCACTCACGCGACGAAACAAACGCAAGCGTTGTTTCACGTCGGTTTTCTGTAAGGCCGTGGTATCACTCCGATCGAGCCGGCCCATTAGTGCCCAAGCATGGGTCTCCCACACTTAATAATCCAAATAAATCACCTGTTTAAGATTTCTTAAAACATTTATTTTGCTCTTTTGACTAAAATGATCACATTCTTGTCTCCAGGTCGGCAGCAACCACCTCGTGATGCAAACAGCCAAAAACGTCCTCTACGGAGACTCCAAAAACCTGCAACCCTGGGGCCTGATCATCCTACTACTCTCAAAATCCGTCAAATCAGCCCACGTGACCCCTCAAACGAAGAAAACCGAAGAAGAAACCAGGGTATTAGCAGAACTGACAGAAATGATGAGAACTGGCCATCTGATTCATAAAGGAATTGTAAACGTACCTTTCGCAAAAAGGTCAAAAGACACAGAATCAGCTATTTTCGGAAACAAAATAGCTTTACTTCTAGGAGATTACCTTCTTGTAACCGCTAACGGTATGCTTGCTAACCTAAGAAATTCCGATGTATCCTACATAATTTCTACTGCCTTAAAAGACTTGTCTGAAGGTGAATTCTTCGGAGAAAGAGATGAGCAAAACATGCCCATACCTGGTGAGCCAAAAATCACTGATAAGGACTACGAAATCAATTTCGACACTAATTCTATTGCAGTAGATGATGTTTTGGGTAAGCCTAGAAAAGAATGGACAGCTAGAACTGTTTACAATGGTGTTAGTCTCCTGGGCAGAGGCTGCCAATCAGCTATGGTGCTTGAAAGACAGAATAGAGAGACTCAGAACTTGGCATACCAATTTGGTTGTCATGTAGGCCTTGCTTGGCAAGCCGCTACAGAATTACAACAACTGACTTCAGAAAGCAAAGACCAGTTCTGTTTAGCAAGTGCACCCGTACTTTTTGCTTTAGACAGCAATCCCAACTTATACCAGATCATAACTCAAGCGAAAAAAGACGTTAAGGACGTCGATTATGAAGATTTGAAGTTCAATATCCTAAAAACTGATGCGGTTGATAAGACACAGATGCTGTATAAGGAACATGCTAAGAAAGCCACTGAGTATATTGATGGTATTGGACAGAATGAGTCCGTTGATATGATAAAGAAGTTGATTAACACATTTTAGGAATTATAAATGTCCCGGCAAACTTGGTAAATTACCTCTTTGAAAACATTAATCAAAATGTACGTAAACATATAATATTCTCGAAATTAAATATGAAATTTTAGAATCGAATTTCCGTCCCTGTTTTTGCATACTATTCTATGAAACACGGTATGGTAGAGAGAATGTCATTAAAATCGGTACATCTGTTTTTGATTTATCAATGGTCCATCTTACAATTAATTGTCATTGAATTTTGTATTTACTTTTTGATATTTAAATACAGAGTTTTTCGACTGTTTCTGTAGTTAAGTTTCTGATAATGTAACTATGTAGGCAATAATTTAAAGTCCTTACGAAATATTTACCTATAACAAAATATGTGTCAATTAAACGTATAGGAAATTACTCAAATGTTTTAAAACATAGTATGGGACCAATGTCATTAAGACCCAATTTTTAATGACGATAATATAAAATGTATGAAAGTTTATTATTATGTATGTAAATGAAAATGAAAGTAAATAAAACTTAAATATTTAAATGAAGTCGCATTTTTGAAGAACTTTTACATTTTTTTCTAAAAGTATGTCGCATTTAACTTTCATTTTTAAATGAAATATATTTTTAGAACGTATATGATTTATTTTGTACACAACAGATTTTAAATTAAATGACAATAATGATAACTATTTATTATTTAAACTAATTTAATAAAGATTTAATAATTGTTATCATTGAAATAAATTGTTAATCATGTCATATGAACACTTTACTGTTCATTTAATGTAATTAAGAAAATTATAATGCATATAACATTTATTGTTTAGTAAATTAATCATTAATTTGAAAATAATATAATTACTGTTTCAAATTATTACACATAATTATTAAATAAAATGTTGTAATTATTTTATGATTATTGTTTTTATATTATTTTACTAGCGACCCGCCCCGGCTTCGCACGGTTGCTATATGCATGTATTATACATATAAACCTTCCTTTTTTTTATTATTTTTTTAAGGGGGGAAAATCATCGAATGACTGCTCCCGCCTGGGTGAGGCGGAAGGGAGTGTCAGACTCTTACTGACTAAAAACCACCCTGTTCCTTCTCCTGCACGTCGAGCCGGAGCCCCGGTTACCCGTTAGGTTCTCCGCGACTCCGAATCGGCATCGGCCCTATTGGGCCCCATCTGTGGTGGTCTGATGGCTCTTTGAGACGCGCGCGGAACGCGACGCGCCGTACGCTCGGGTCTGTTTCTGGTCGGACGAGGAGCCACCCATGCTCGCCGTCCGCAGGCCCGCGCTTACGGTGGCCGGAGGTCGTCCCGCGATCCCCGACGCCCGGTGTGTCCTTCGCGATGGCTGGGTTTGCGAGGAAGCAGCGCTTCGCTGCCTCACGCGTCCCACCTCCTCCTTAGCTAGCATGACTGCTTCGCAAAAGGAGGAGACGGCATCCCAGTCCCCCTCGCTCCGCATCATGGCCTGCACTAGGCCCGGACGCGAGAGGTCGCCATCGCCGATCACTTCCCTGAGGATATAAACCTTCCTTTTGTATTTGTTGACGTTTCAAAAGCACCAAACTATGGTTTAATTGAAATAAATGCTTTGACTTTGACTTTGACTTTAAGAATCACTCTATCCATTAAAAAAACGCATCAAAATCTTTTGCGTACTTTTTTAAAGATTTATTTATTTATTTATTTATTTATTTATTTATTTTCCACTTACATTTATCTTTACAGGTTAATGCCCAATGCGATAAATGTGCTCATCTTAATATCTACCTATAGCATATTACATATAATGCATTCCTTGTGAATTCACCCAGAGTACAACAAAATAGGTCAATTTCATTAGAAATCAGGTTGAGCGTGCGAAGATCTAAGCATACACATAGGGACAGACAGACGGTGGATAGCGACTTTGTCTTGGGCTCGTACACAAAACTGCGATGCGACGTCGCATCGCAAAAATGAGCGAGCTCCCTCTACGCATCGCAAGAACTTGCGAATTGATTCGCATCGCGCATCAAAGTCTTATCTTCCCAAAATCTTCTTTGTTTCTTTTTCCTGTATCTCCGTAGCAATAACAGAAAAGCACACTTCTTTTTTCGATTCATGTTACAGTCTAGTTTTCAATTTAAAATACGTTAATACGGTTGACGGTCGTCGAAGGAATGGTCACCCTAGGAGACGCTTTGTCGCACGAAATCGCATCGCAGCAATTCGCATCGTAATTTTATGTGTTTTTTATGGCATAAGCCAGTAAACGAGCTGACGGATCACCAATCTGATGGTAAGCAATCGGCACTGCCCATGAACACCCGAAACACCATGGCGTTACAAGTGCGTTACCGGCCTTATGGGAATTGGGAATTTGAGGATTGTGGAGGGTTCGGGGATTCGGGAGACTAGGGAGGGGGGTAATTAGGCCTCCGGTAACCTCACTCACAAGACGAAACACAACGCAAGCGTTGTTTCACGTTGGTTTTCTGTGAGGTCGTGTTATCACTCCGGTTGAGCCGTCCCATTCGTGCCGAAGCATGGCTCTCCTACACTTATTACACACATTTAAGACGCGCCTTAGAAAAATAGCTTATTCTAATAAGTTACTTCCATTGTGCCTAATAGAAATAAATGCTTTGACATTGAATTATTACATTGTTGTAAAAGGATATGACAAAATCTATGACACGGATATATGACGAAATAACTCTAATTACATGTATTATAGTGAAGGACAATAATATTTAACCTACATTTCCACTGACTTGAACATTTTATAATACAGTTGGAGCAAAGAAATTGAGCCACTGGCGCCTTTTTGTATAATCTTAAAAAGATTATTTTTACAACTTTCATTTTAAATGTAACAAATCTAGTACCTTTACACGAGTCGCGGAGAACCTAACGGGTTACCGGGGCTCCGGCTCGACGTGCAGGAGAAGGAACGGCGTGGTTTTTAGTCAGTAAGAGTCTGACACTCCCTCCCGCCTCACCCAGGCGGGAGCAGCCATTCGATGATTTTCGCCTTAATCTTTCTCCCCAAATATTTTTTTATGGGATAAACCGATAAACGTTCAGACGAATCACCTGATGGTAAGCAATCGGCGTCGTCCATGGACACCCGGAACACCAGAGGCGTGACAATGCGCGTTACCGGCCTTTTGAGGATTAAGAATTCGATGATTATTGGAGATTCAGAGATTAAGGGAGGAGAGGGGCGGTAATTGGGCCTCCGCTTACCTCACTCATACGACGAATCACAACGCAAGCATTGTTTCACGTCGGTTTTCTGCGAGGACGTGGTATCACTCCGGTCGAGCCGGCCCATTCGTGCTGAAGCATGTCTCTCACACATGCAACTCCCGTCTTGAAAAAAGGTTAGATATCCCCCACTTTAAATGCTCATGGCCAACAATTTTGACCCAGTTGACTATTGAAACGTTATAATGAGCTTATGAATTACCATTTTGTAAAACACACTTTAATTGATGCCTCGCTCGGCTTAGAACCTTGACCAACTGATGTGCTAAGTGCTATATATGTCTATGCTAAGTATGTGATGTTACATAATGATATAACGCTAGTTATTTAGTGAAGTATTGAATAATATAATAGGGTAACGCACTTGCTATTGCCCATGGGTGGTGCTGATCGCTTACCATGAGATTATACATCAAATGTTCGAAAAAAAAAATCTCAGAGTGCGAATAACTATCGCATTCGTATCGTAACAGTATTGAGCGAGTTAAGCGTTCTGATTGGTTGGTTCACTTGAGCCGGCCAATCAGAGCACCGAACTCGCTCGATACTGTTACGATACGAATGCGATAGTTATTCGTGCTTGGCCCTCTGTTCTCTTATACATCAGTTTTAGTATTTATAACATAACCTCACGTCGACAAGGATAAACCTTGAAGACGTGGGGTAGGCAGAGGTGTCCATATAACATTTAACACCCAACTTTTTACTAGTTTTGTAATGAACTTCATACAAAAATGGTGAAAAGCGTTTTAAAAGATGAGCTATTCTTGAGATAATTCGGTTCGGCCGATTCGGAGCTGCGAAGGCCTTGGGGCTCCCGCTCGAAGGGCAGAAATAGGAACGGGGTGGTTTTTAGTCAGTAAGAGTCTGACACTCCCTCCTGTATATTTGTAGATTACATGTATAGATAGATCAGCAGTTAACGTCATGTAGCTGATATGATAAAGATGATTCATTGTAAACGATTTCCCGAGTAACTATAGGAAAAATGGAAAAAAATTATGCGCAATCAAAGTCTAAGGAAAAGCCTAGTATTATACATATTTTATACCTAAATGCTAACTAGACTTAACAGTCATAGGTCTATTATCAGATGCATACTAAACATCGATGTTCATGTTCATCACTTGTTAATGTGAGACTGCCTCGTTGGAAGAGTTGTTGTCAGTAGCACTGCTGAGGAAATGGTCTCGGGATTGATTTCTGTGTTTAGGTAAAGTGTATAAAAAATCTCAGTATTTTTTTAAGGGGGGGAAATCATCCAATGGCTTCTCCCGCCTGGGTGAGGCGGAAGGGAAGACTTTTACTTGTACTCTTACTGACTAAAAACCACCCCGTTGCTACTCCTGGACGTCGAGCCGGAGCCCCGGTAACCCGTTAGGTTCTCCGTGGCTCCGTATCGGCATCAACCCTATTGAACCCCATCTGTGGTGGTCTGATGGCACTTTGGCATTTGGCATGGCAACCTCACCACACATCACACACACGTTTAAATTGATTTGATGTTTTATAGACAATTTGACAAGCGAAGTAACAATACGACAGGATATTGTTTGTATTTTATTATTGGCACAAACAGTTAGCGAATATATAGTAGGTACTTACGGTCTCTAGTTAGTTTATGGTGTGTGTGTTTCTGGTTTTTTTATGGCATAAGCCGATAAACGAGTAGACGGATCACCTGATGGTAACCAATCGGCGTCGCCCATGGACACCTGGAACACCAGAGGCGTTACAAGTGCGTTACCGG